GATATAATCAAAGGCAAAAACCTGCACCCTTGTGTACTATCGGTATATCTTGTTTCCTTCTAAGTGCTACATATAACTGCCCATAGATATAATACGCTGTAGCGTTGTGTAGTGTTCAGCATACAACATACAAATGCCGACCACTGTGTATTCAGATTTGAAAATTTTACATATGTCTAATAAACGGTTCGAAAAGATTATATGATTTTGTTTTCTTCTCATGTTCTCCTGTCTTCACATTGCAATAGAACTATATGTCGGATAAATGAGTGATGACAGGCTAACTCTACGTTTGAGTGACGTTGCACACACACACAACACTCACACACATATGATTTCCTTATATTGGCTAGATTTTCCTTGCATCTATTCACCTGAAATGGAAAACGAAATGGTCAACAATGCTGAGATGTTAAGTCCGGACCACCATTTGGACTGAGATAGGTAAAATAATATCGCCAGCAAATGTCGGATCTTCTTTGCAAAACTTAATGCAGATGCAGTGTGATGAAAATGATGACCACAATGATGATGGCTATGAGCGAGTCAGCAAGTGAATGAACGAATGGTTGGCCATTCGACCGTTTAAGTGTTTTTTTTTTTTGCTTTTTTCTGATACCATAAAATGAAGTGATTCTTGTCTTTCTATTTTCCGCCAATAAAGGTCTGGCTGGTCTGGTACTACTTCAATTGTGCGTGTGTGTGTGTTTGGCCCAGAGACGCTGATGCGATGATGCTCAGGCATGCTGACAGTTTGAGAGCATCATGCATTGCCATATGCAGATCAGTTTGGCCTATCCATACACTGGCCATTATTGTTATTGGCGTTGTTGTTTGGTTTGCTGTTCGAGTATAGAGCTATGTTATTTGAATTGGCGAACAATTCCTCAATTACACACCATTAGTCGTTACATTAAACTTTATGGTCAGGCTGACTAAACGCCTGGCTGGTTGGTTGGCTGGCTGCCTAGCCAGGGGCTGGCACATCGATGATTATAATACTGATGATGTGGTGGCCTGATCTTTATTCAAATTTCTAAGATGTTGATTAATCTTGTCAGCAAACCTCCGCCAGAATGGATGATGAACACACATACACAGGTCGGTCGGTCGTTCGGTAGGTAGGTACTCTCATGAAATTGAAAGGGATTTTTAAAGTAATTGATCTCAATGAATGGTAATTCAAGATGAACTGATTTTTGACCGCTGAAGAGGAAAGTTTAAAAGCCAATGACACTTTCCAAACGAAATAAAAAAATGGCAATGATTTTTTAATTTCTGTTTTTTTATAATGAAAAATAAAAAATATATTAAAGTTTTATTTAATGAAATATTTTTTTATATTTAAAAGCACATTTTTATGGCCCTTTTTTTAATATTCCATTTTGCTCTGTTTTATTTTTTTGTAATTTTTTTCATAACCCGCATATAGATAAGATTTGCTGATAATGCCTTTTTGCTAATATTGTATTATTATATATACATAAATATGTATATAACAAACAAATACTCATAGCCTGACACAGACACCACTACCACTGTGACTCACATCAATTGTTGATTTTGAGGGTTATAAATGGCAAAGCCATTTCCGATAAGACAGGGCAAAGAAAAAAATAACCATTAGAACACTTTTGTTTGGAATAGTAACGAGTTTGGTTTTTGCCAATAGATAAGGGTCTAAGTGCTAAAAAAAGTGAATCGAACAAACTTAGGGTCTTCGGTGCACCATTTACATGAAATCAATCGGAAATATATACATGTGGGAGCTTTATCTAAACCTAAATCGGACAAATTTCGGATATTTTTTACCTTTTAAGTAAAATCAGATGCAAAATATATATGAGAGCTATAACTAAATCCGAACCGATTTAAATAATATTTAATATATATCGTTGTAGGGCAAAATTTTGTGTTAATAGGACATGCATTGGACCTTTTTTGTAGCAATTACATAAAATCGGACGAAAATATATATATGGCCATAATCTAAACCTAAGTCACTCTACCAAAAATGTTAAATTTTGGTTAACTTTTTGAGATCCCGAATTTCGATATTTCAGGACGTCTATATATATTTTTCAACCACAATGGATGTTGTGTCATATTTTCGGCTCTCTTGGGGCTAAAAATCTCTCTAACAAAAATTATTAATGTTTTTATTAATTTATCTTTCGAGATGAGCAATGAACCTGCAACTTCGATCATCTCGAAAGGGAAATTAATAAAAACATTTACATGAATGATCCTTCGCCCCCAAAAAAGCATAAAACTTAAAAAAAAAACTTTAAAAATTATTAATATTGACCCAAGTTTCCGTGTAGCCCGGCAATTTTACGATACCCGGAATATTCGGTATTTTTAGGATTTCAGAAATGTTTCTCAAACAAATTGACCGATGGTATTTTGGAATCTCATTAGGTGGGAAATCTTCCTACCAAAAATTTACAATATAGATCCATCTTTACGTATAGCCACCCTTTAAAATTACCCCCCAATGTTCGGTATCCCTAAAATGTTCCTCGACCACTTTCGACATTTCCAAAATATACAAAATTAATATAATTTTCACCCCCTCGAAGTGGCTGTAATTTTCACATTTCGAGTTGGCACTTCACTTGGCGGAGAGTATAGAATATTCGGCAGGGTAGATTTTAACAATGGTTTGCATTTTTTATACCCTACACATCTATGTTGTAAGGGTACTATAGCTTTGTGCAGCCCCAAAATATTGGCCCTAGACCCACCTTTAAGTATACCGATCGTCATATCTCGACTAGCTGAGTCGATCTAGACATGTGTGTCCGTCCGTCTGTCCATTATAAATTGTAAACACGATACAGGCCACAGTTATGTACCAATCATCACGAAATTTTGCATGTAGGATTGGTTCTTGCCAATGAAGACCCCTATTGCCTTTGGAAAATATCGGTTAATATTTAGGGGATGAAATGGACCAAAAAGTTTATTTTTGGCGGGTTTTCTGGTCGTTCCAGAGGCCCAAACACCGCGAATTGTTACATATAGAAGGGGATCGGGCCAGAGAATAAGCATGTCTGCTTTGATAAAGATCGGTCAATATTTAGCGGGTCAAATGGACCCTGACTTTTGTGTGAGAAATTAAAAAAAAATATTCTATGGCGTATATATTTACCCCTGAAGAACAAAGACCCGAGATGTTGATAGCATATCCAAGATTAGTGGTTGACCTTTAAATTGATACCAATTATATGGTCGTATGTACTCGGATGCGAGAGTTACACTTAAATACCTTACGTATTCAGATATAAGTTAGTAACCCATTACCACACCAGAGGGCGGAAGATCGCTTTGAAATTTTCCATGAGGATTCAGCTATGGTCAAGGACAACGCCTATAATTTTCGGTGAAGATCAGAAAATAATTTTGGGATGAATTGGACCGAAAACTTAATTTATTGTGTTTATTTCGAGTCGATCAATTATAAGACGATCATCATAACACAACCCACGGTGAAGGTCAAGAGAATGCAAATATTGCCCCAGAATATTGAACCACACAAAGTTAGATTTCCGTAGAAGTTGTGTAGGGTATCACATGGTCGGCCCCGTCCGACTATACTGCTCAGCTCACTGGTTTTAATATGCCAAAGAAACAAAGTTAAAATTAGGTTCATAGGAAATATCAATGCCCTATTTTTTTTAAGATCGACTCCAGAACAATATTTATACCCTACACAACTATGTTGTCAGGGTATTATAGCTTTGTGCAGCCCCAAATGTTTGTAACGCCGCGAAATATTGGTCCTAGACCCACCTTTAAGTATACCGATCGTCATATCTCGACTAGCTGAGTCGATCAACATGTGTGTCCGTCCGTCCGTCCGTCCGTCTGTCCATTATAATTTGTAAACACGATACAGGCCACAGTTATGGACCAATCTTCACGAAATTCTGCATGTAGGAAGGGTTCTGGCCAATGAAGACCCCTATTGTTTTTGGAAAAGATCGGTTAATATTTAGGGGATGAAATGGACCAAAAACATTATTTTTTTCGGTTTTTCTGGTCGCTCCAGAGGCCGCAATTATGGCCCAAACACCGCGAATTTTTGCATGAAGAAGGGGATCGGGCCAGAGAATAAGCATGCATGTTTTGATAAAGATCGGTCAATATTTAGCGGGTCAAATGGACCCTGACTTTTGTGTGAAAAATGACAAAATTTTTATTCTATGGCATATATATTTACTCCTGGAGGATGTAGACCCCAGGAGTTGATAGCATATCCAAGAGGAGTGGTTGGCCTTTAAATTGATACCAAATATAGTGATGTATCTACTCAGATGTGGGAGTTACAGTCAAATATTTACAGGTGCTTACGTATTCAGATATTATTTAGTAACCCATTACCACATTAGAGGGTGAAATATCGCGCTGACGACTTTGGAATATTTCATGAAGTTCCAGTTATGGTCAAGAACAACGCCTACAATTTTCAGTGATGATCAGATTAAAATTTTGCGATGAAATGGACCGAAAACATAATTTTTGTATGTTTTCGAGTAGAGTATAATCCGAAAATCACAACACAACCCACCGTGAAGGTAATCTGGACAAGTAATTATAAGGACTAGACTGAATATTCGAAAAAAAGTAAGGAAGAGGTGTTTTTGGCCTCTAATCGGACAAGAGGGGGTAAATATTACTCAGACTCGGAATAAACATCCTCAGAAAGTTAGAGTTCGTGGTAGTTTTTAGGGTATCGACTCCATAATAGTAAATATTTTGGTTTTTTTTTTAAGTTTAGAGTAATTTAAGAATAATATTCCCATTAATCCCATTTTTTTTTTTTTTTTTTTTTTTTTTTTTTTATATTCATTTCAGATATTTCCGTTTCCAAAATACCTTGAAATATTTTTGTTACCTTTAAATATTTCTATTACGGCTATTTTTGTTTTCAAATTAATTTCTACGAATTCGAATATTAGTCATACCAAAAAAATTAAAAAAAAACATCCACAAACCTTATTAATTTTGGTGGGTCTTGTGACCGGTACATCGTAATCCAATGAACAGTAACCGCTTGATTTATCCAACATTTTGCGTTTGATTGTGTGTGTTCGATGATGGGGTACAAAATAGCACTTCAAAAATGTTTCAAATTTTGTTTTCTTAGAATATAAATTTTAGAAAACACTTGTTTGCAAATGGGGTTTCAAATTTCTTGTGTTTTTTTATTTTATTTTTTTGGTTAACATGTTTAACATTTTCACGGTTGATTGGAAGAAAATCAAACTTCTTAAATTTCTGGATGCAATTTTTGTTTTGATTCGAGCTCTCTTTAAATATATTTAATCCAGGACAATATAAATAAAGGAACTCGAATGGAACTTACAATGTTGATTTCACTGGTTTCAAAATTTGTTTCTTCGTTTTTTTTCAAAATCTTGTTTCAATTTTTCAAAATGTATTCCATTGAAATAAATAAAAGGCACTATCACGTTATTTTTATTTCAATCATGTTTGCTATGGACTTTTTTCTTTGCACTTTTATTGTCTTTTCTTTTTTGGGTTTCCGAAAAAACAAATTCGCATTTAACACAAAAATCAAGTTTCGAAAACAAAAAAAGACAAACTGGCAGAATATTGAAATACAGCACAGCAGGCAAAGATTGAACGATCATCAGGCAAATATCACCGCAATCATCATCAACTGCGACGTTGGTATTGTTGCTATTGTAGTTGTTGTTGTGGTTGTAGTCAACAACCCAATCCGAAACAAGGTAAGAAAGGTTTCTCAAAAAATTGCCAAAAATTTAACAAAACAAAATTTTCGGTAAACAGCAAAAAAAAAAAAACAATCGCACACACACACAGGCAGGGACGTAAACAACAGAACCGGGCTTAAACCGCAGACTTAACTTCACTTCAAAATATGGCCAAAAAACTAGGTAGAGATCGGTAGTTAGTACGTGAATATGGCCAAACGACGGACAGAACGCGTTTGTATCTCTTAACTTGGCTATTTGTTGTTATTGTATTTATTTTAACTTTTTTTTGCACTAATTTTTTTGTGCTATTTTCCAACACTCTTTTTTATAATTCTTGAGATAAGGCCTTTAAATGATTATTGATGATAGGGAGGTTTTGTTCAAAATTTAGGTAATTTTTCCAAAATACAACTTTTTTTAAAAAAAATATTTTTTTCAATTCACAACTTTATTCGTAACGGTTAGTAGCTTCTTAACGTAATTTTCTATTTTCTTTTTACACTTCGTTAACTCGTAATTTTCATTTTTGTGTGTGTTTTTTATTGTAATTTTCGTAACAAACGTCGTCCGCACAACAAACCGTAAGCCAGCAAGTATCTCGTGGTACTAAATTCCCGCCACCAGCAGATACATTTTGTGTGTGGTGGTTGTTTAGCAACCTCATGTTGTTGAGATACTCACTTCGCATGTTGAGATAATTTTATCTACCTGACATGTTGCTGCAACATGATGCCCGACAAAAACAAAAACGAATGGAATAGCCAACCTTCTTGCTGAGGGGCCCCTCACAACATATGTTACTTGAAAAAAAAAAATTCTCATATGGAATTTCCGGAAATTGTGAATCTTATCTAATGGCCAGCAAAACACGACAATGTTCAAGATAAAAATCTCAACAGGTAAATTATGATGAGGCAGTTGTTTTTTTCTTGTACGACTATTTTTTTTTTAATTCTCCATCCTTGACAAGAAATTTCCGTATTTAGGGATTTTTTTTATTATTTTTGTTACGACTTAAAAATGACGTGAAAAAGGGATTTCGGTGCACTTTTGTCAAATTAATCCTTTTCTTTGGGGATGGGAAAATTTTTCTTGTTAAGGCATCAGCAATAAAGGGACACTGAATGTGACACAAATATAAATCTATATATTTTTTCCTAAAGGCTGTGGAAAATTTTACTATTGGAAATACCATATCGTTGGCATTCGAAATGCCAGCAGACAATTTTCTTAGGGGATTTTTTAAATTATTTTTTTTAAATAAGATATCAAAAAAACTATATTTTATTTTTTGTATAAACATGATGTTGGAAAATGAAAAAAAAATTAAAACAAAATTAAATCAAACCAGTAAGGAAAGTAGTAAAGTCGAACTTGGTCGACTATAAGATACCCTTTAACACTATGGGTATATTGTATATATGTATCCTTACAATTGTATGTCAATGTTCCCTCGAAGGAAAATACTCATGTCTTTCTGCAAACTATGATAAATTTTATTTCATTCGGGCATGGGACAAATTTATAGAAAACGATTTATAGCAAAATTGATACACGCTATTCGGTACGCCGCACTGTTAAAAATTTAATTTCAATCAAACACCCGTTCGAAACACACATATAGAAGCTATGGTTGCATCTACACCAATTTTAACAAAACACAATAACGTCATTCAAGTCGCAATTTGAGACGTTGTGCGAAATTTCGTGTTAAACGGACAAGTATTAGGAGTTTGGTCCAGCATTTATGTAAACTTGGACGAATATATATGGGTTTATGTGGGAGGTATATCGAAATCTGAACCGATTTTCACGAAACCTACCACACATCATTCTTGGCTTAATTCAGTACGCTATGTCAAATTTCGTACAAATCAAAGTATATTAAGGGACTTTCGTGCAATATCAAAATCTGAACCTATTTCTACGAAATTTAGCACACATCGCTCTAGACTCAATTCAGTACGCTATGCCAAGTTTCATGCAAATCGAAAGATATATAGGGACTTTGGTGCACCATTTACATAAAATCGGACGAACCGATTTTCACAAAATTTAACACGAAATTTAACACACATCGTGATAGACTTTATTCAAAACGCTTTCCCAATTTTCGTGCAAATCGAAGCAAATATAGGACCTTTGGGGCACTATTTACTTAAAATCGGACCAAAATATATATGGGAGCTACATCTAAATCTGCACAGATTTTCACGAAACTTAGCACACATCATTCTAGATCTAATTCAGTACGCTATGCCAAATTTCGTACAAGTCGAAAGGTATATAGGGTCTTTGGTACACTATTTACATTAAATCGGTCGAACATATATATGGGAGATATATCTCAATATGAATCGATTTTCAAGAAAATTTACACACATCATTCTAGACATAATTCAATACGATATGCCAAATTTCGTCCAAATCGAAAGATATTTAGAGACTTTGGTACACCACTTACATAAAATCGGACGAAAATATATATGGGAGCTATATCTAAATCAGGACCGATTTTCAAGAAAATTTACACACATCATTCTAGTCTCATTTCAGTACGCTGTGTCAAATTTCGCGCAAATCGAAATATATATAGGGGCTCTGGTGAATTATTTACATTAAATCGGTCGAAAATATATATGGGGGCCATATCTAAATCTGAACCGGTTTTCAAGAAATTTTACACACATTATTCTAGTTTCAATTCAGTACGCTATGCCAAATTTCGTGCAAATCGAAAGATATATAGAGACTTTGTGCACCACTTATATTAAATCGGACGAAAATATATATGGGAGTTATATCTAAATCTGAACCGATTTTCATGAAATTTTACACACATCATTCTAGGCTTAATTCAGTACGTTGAGCCAAATTTCGAAACTATATATGAGAGCTATATCTAAATCTGAACCGATTTTTCCCAATTTCAATAGGGTTCGTCCTTGGGCCAAATGAATGAGATCTGCTAAATTTCATCCAATTCGGATTATAAATGCGACCTGTATTTTGTTTACAATTTAACATGGACGGACGGACAGACGGAGATTCACAAATCGACTCAAAAAGTGATTCTATGTATATTCTCAAAAGGAACCATGTGTCTATCTCGTTTCCTTTTGTCTGTTACAAACATATGCACAAAGACATAATACCCCGTACCACAGTATGGTGAAGGGTTTAAAACCCAAAGTCTAGAGAATAGTCTTTCCAAAAATATTTTTAAAATTCACGTCTATGAATAATCGTTCGCCTTGGGTTCGACTTGAGAAATATTTTTAAACCAGTGAGTGGAGCAGTATAGTCGAACGGGGCCGACCATATGATACCTTACACAACTTCCACGAAAATCGAATTTTCTGTGGTACTTCATTCTTAGGCAATATTTCGCGATACTTGCACCCTCAGTTCAGCTCTTCTAATTACTTGTCCAGATTCCCTTCACCGGGTGTTGCGTTGTGATGTTCGGCTTTCAATTGTGGCCTATAGATTGACTCGAAAAAAAAACACAAAAAATAAGTTTTCGGTCCATCCCAATATTATAATCTGATCATTACCGAAAATTATAGGAGTTGTCCTTGACCATACCTGGATCCTCAAGGAAAATTTCAAAGCTAACTGCGCTATTTTTCCGCCCTCTAGTGTTGTGCTAAATAATATATAAATACGTAAGCCCCTGTAATTATTTAAGTGTAACTCCCACATACGAGTACATACGACAATATGATTGGTATCAATTTAAAGGTCAACCGCTCCTTTAGGATATACTATCAACTTCTCTGGTCTATGTCCTTCAGGGGTTAATCTATACTCTATAGAATATAAATTTTGTATTGTACAATTTGACCCTCTAAATAATGACAACAGAAAAACCGACAAAATTAAGTATTTGGTACATTTCATCCCAAAATTATTATCTGATCATCACCAAAAAGAATAGGGGGCTTCATTGACCCATCCAGCTTCATTGACCCATCATACATGCAAAATTTCGTGAAGATTGGTCCATAACTGTGGCCTGTATCGTGTTTACATTGTAATGGACAGACGGACGGACACAGATCAACTCAGCTAGTCGAGATATGACGATATTTCGCGGCGTTACAAACACTTGGGGCTGCACAAAGCTATAATACCCTGACAACATAGTTTTGTAGGGTATAAAAAATCCACAATTAGTGATGAATATCCACACTTGTATATGACCCTTTACAAAATATTAAAAATAGCTTAAAATGCTTATAGTTCTGCACATGCAAGCTCAAAAATACTCTTTCAATACAAAATTTCCCTGCCTTTGAAGTATTTTTCGTTTTTATGATGTGTGT